CGAAGGAGTGAAGCGGAGATCGGAACCCGTGGATCTCTGGAGCCAGGGGGGGTTTGGGGTGTGTTAGGTGAGATGTAGGTCTAGGTTGTCCCACCCTGCGCTGCCTAGGATGCATTTGATTAGTGTGTGTTGTATATTGTATATTTGTATTGGATGTATCGCGTTTTTTATTTTATATTTTATTTTCTTTCTTTGCATTATTTCAGGTTATAATTCTGGCTGTGTTTCTGGTTTTCAGGGAATTGGAATTTTTAGATAATTAAGTATTGAGTTGGTGCATAAGTTGGAACGCTTTATCTATGTTTTCTGAAATTTCGTTTTTAAACCACAGAAGCTAAGCAGTCAATCGACGATGTATTCTCCTTCGAGTTCCACGACTTCATGCCATCGTTTCACCAGGTTGACGATTCCACGACGATATAATTCCGCTGCCTTCGAGGCGAAGAAGTCATCTGGCCACGCTTTGAGGGCATGGTCGTTGTCGAAGGCTACAACGCTGAGACTTTTCGAGAGGGAGCGAAAGAGGTGGTAGTCAGATGGAGCGAGGTCTGGCGAATAAGGTGGATAAGGCAGAATTTCCCATCCAAGCTCCCCAATCGTTTTTCTGGCCAGTTTTGCTGTGTGGGGAGCGCGTTGCCATGCTACAAGATAACCTTCTTCACGATATCGGACCGTTTGTCCTGAATAACCCGGTTGAGCCGATTCAGTTGCTCACTGTACAGTGCAGCGTTGACTGCTTCGTCGTTCTGAAGCAGTCTTAGGCGGATTCAGACGGATGAGAACATTCAGACGCCCCTCGTCGAGATCCAACATACGACCAGAACGTCGCCCGCTCTCCACGTCGAAGTCGCCCTTCGTGACTCTCGCGAACCATTTCTGGGCTGTTCTTATCAGCATTGCATCATCTCCGTATACGGCACAAATGTCACAAACGACCGTTCAGCCCTGATTGAATGCACAAAGTAGCACTTGTCGACAATGCGTTTTTTTGTCCACATGACACTTCATTTCATCATGTTGAAGATCCGGACGAAACAAAACTGCAGTGGATCGTCTAGCACAGTTGCGAAGAACAGAAAATCTGCTATCGACTGGTGTATAAAACTCCTCCGGAAAAGTGGACTTTTGCTGGAATGATTCAATTTGAAGAAAAGCGCACGAACTTATGCACCAACCCAATAATTGGACTGATTATTTCAAATGTGTTTAATTTCTATTATTTCTTTCAAGAAATCTTCTCAGAGTTGCCTCATTATTTATTCTTCATTCTTATTCTTTATTCTTAAAAATTCTCCTGTTTCCTCAAATTCGTTGTCTCCTTTCCAGTCTTGCGCGCTCACAAAAATCTTTCAAAATTAACTTCGGATCAGAAAAAGAGTTTGGGCGGCAGCCCTCTTTCATTAACGAAAAACCCAAAAACAAACATTTTCATGTGTATTAAATGAACTGATCCGATTTTTCCGAATAATAATTCCGAAATATCTCTAAAAATACAAAACTGAAATAAATCTTCGACAATTTAATGAAATTAAATCGGCGTTTTCGCTATTTTGAAGAAATAAGCGCGCAACATTGATTCTCTTGTTCATTTCCATCATTTGACATTATTGCAGAACAACACTGAAATACAATACAATGTAAACAACACTCGAATGAAGCAGTAATTATAAAATTAGTTGTCAGTAGTAATGATGCAGACAGAGGCCAACTGAAATAATTTCTACGGCAGTTATATTTGACTGAGAACGATTGTGTTAGTTAGGAAAAACTCAGTACAGTAGAAATAGTGATTATAGTCATGAAACTCTAGCGAGCACATGCATAAAAAATAGATAGGTGCATGCACATCTTCTGAACGACACATCAGCACTTCAGCTTAATCCACTGAGAAACCTTAGGCAACACTTTTGACTTATCTGGTATCATTGCTTGGATTTTGATCGTTTGAATGTTCGGAGTGAGGATTTTGTTGAGAATTGAGCGAGTTATGATTTTGGGCGATTGAGTAAACGGATTGAATTGATTATTATAGAACGGATTGGATTATTGTATGCAATTGAGTGATGGTAGGTAATTTATTCATTGATTTTAGTTGTGTTATGAAAGAAATTCAGTACGACTTAATAAAGCGAGCAATATTTAACATGAAACACCCATATTATAAGAAATGAATCAGTGGAGCAGTTGATTAAAGCAAATATTGTAGTAGTAGTAGTAGTGGCATTATTAAATGCACTATGGAAGGAACACAACTAGAAGACGACTGATAAGGAACTGAAAATGGAAATAATTATGTAAAGCTTATATTGTTTATGGACTTATTGTTTTTATTGTAATTATTACCAGTTTCATTATTACAATTTTTCAACGGAATGGAATAGGACTTGAATATGACAGTTTTAAATAGTAGTGGGATGGGGAATTTTAAATTAATTAACACATACAATAATAAACAAAATAACATTTGGCAAGAATATGCATCATGCTTCTTGGTCAAGAGATCAGACGAGGCACGTACAAACAAACAATGTCTTTTAGTTATTATAAGAGAACATGGAATATGATAAAAGATTTTATATTCATTGCAAATAAAACTTCAACTGAGCATTACAGAAGTATAAAGGCAAGGTTGCATTAATATATTTCATATCATATTGTCTAAAGTATTATATAATACAATACATACGTATATATAAATACAAAAACAAAATCATGTTGATGGTATAGTTAAGGCGAGTGGATAATGGGGCATTGATAACTGCAAGAATAGTGTGATTTGTTTTGATAAAACATCAGAAATGAATGCATATCCTCATTCGTTGATTACTTATTGGATTGATTGAAGTGTTTTTTGGTTGGACTCTCGATCATTGGACTGCAAGAGAATGTTTTTGTTTGCGATGTAATAGAATCGAGTTGGGATCGATTTTGTTGAATCGCTGTTTGATGCGTTTGGGCAAGTAAGCAATCGAACGAGGTGTTGCTGTTGATTGAATTCGACTTGCAGTGAACTCCTAGTCGAGTTCCTTCTTCACCTGCATTTTCATATGCACCTGTTCGGCGGACATTTGCAACAGTGATGTTAAATCACAAACGAAGCGATAGACGTAACGTTTGCCGGGTGTTTTGTGGATAATATTCTTATCGTAATAGTATCGAAGACCCCGTGATAACTTCTCGTAATTCATCTGAAAAGAATGGAGGTGCTGAATGCGGAATCATGTTCATTGAGCAGTCTGAGACGAATCAAACGGATGTGGCAAAGAATACCTTTGGTTTGTTCTTACGTTGGCCCCATTTTCTGGCCACTTCATCAGGATCGTTCAACTTGAACTCCCATCCATCTCCAGTCCAAGCAATGCACGATTTTGCCGACTCAGTCATCAGTAATTCCAGCAAAAATTGCCACAATTGAATTGGACCTGAAAATCGAGAATGCACCGCACGTCACGTCACGGTTATGAAGAGGAGAGATAGAAGTGAAATAATGAAGTGTGCTTACCGGTTAAGCCTGGCAGAGTAAGTGCTGGATGTGTGGGATGGGTGAATTCGAGTTCAGTCTCGGAACTGGATGAAGGCGATACAGATTGAGTGATGTGATTGGCAGGATGTATTGGTTGTGCCAGTGCAGCACTGTAGCAGCCGGCAGTGGATGAGGACGCGGTGACGAGTAAAGAGCTCTGAGCGGCTTGCGACTGAGTGAGTGCTGATAGCGTGGAGGATGGCAAAGGAATCTGATGTCGTATGTAGGCTGGAGAAGAGGCGCACTGTGAAGGCGAGTGATGAGCGTAGACAGTGGACGAGGAGACGTAGTTACTAGCATGACAACTACTTGCACAGCACATTCCTGCAGCTGCACTCGTCCACTGCTCGGGCACTAAGCATGGACCGATGGATGTAGTGGAACCGAAACTGGAGGGAGTAAGGCGAGTTGACGCTCGAGCAGCATTCAGATAATTGGAAGATCCAACAAACTGATGACTATGATGGTAGATAGTCGGTATAGCTGAGGGGATTGAAGTGGTGCTAGAAGGAGCGAGCAGAATTGAAGTTGAGAGGGTGGGAGGTGATGCGCACGAAGAAGATGGTATACGAGCTGGAGGGGACGAAGAAGAGCAAGGTGCTTGAAGACGACTAAGTGAGGCAGCAGTGCCACAGCTCGGGCTGATGTTGTCCACTGTGCCAGCAGTCGTGAGCGATGAAGATGATTTGATCTCTGCAAATGAAAAGTGACCGAATTGAGTAATTCAACGAATGAATCAATTAAGCGATTCAACGAATCTATAACTTTATGAAACGCACCTCCTGAAGAAGTTAACGAAGGATAGAACTGATGTGTGTTCTGACAACAAACGTCGTAGATGTTATCACCAGTAGCGAGAGTATTACTGCTGCCACTAGGCGATGGAACGTCTTGGAAATCACAGTGCCGATCCGAGCACGGTATCGAGTCATAGCCTTAAAACATTTTGTCTTGCAATTAGTTAGACAGACGTTTGGTTTTATTCTGATCATATTCACATGTATCGTTCAGACACTTAAGTGCTGAACGTTCAGTTTAATGGAGATTCGTCTTCGAAGAGGGAAGAGATGAGGCAATTAATAATGGAGTGAAATCGATAATTAAGCTCAATAATTGTTCGCATGCAAGGTCATTTCAGTTATGTAGTAATGAAAAAATTGGAATTGTGGCATTCATGTTCCATATTATATGCATAATATAATGAGCAATGTGTGCATGAAAAAAGTAAATAAATTGATAATGAATAGGTGATTGAGAGTGAGTGAAATGAATAAATCTTATGATTTATAAATGGAATAAATTGAGAGTGAAGCAGTGATCGGTTACAATTAATGACAGTCTAATTACTAGAATCTAAAAGTGATTGAATAATTATTTTAGCAGAATAAATCAAGTTCTATTGAATTGATGGATTAGTTGGTAAATAGATGGATATTGGATATTAGTTGGGAAATGATTTCAAATTTGAATATCGTATTGAATGTTCATCTTGGGATATTCTTTAGGTTGAGAATATAAGAGGAGGCTATAGTTGAAGTTGTTGTTTAGGTTGTGGATTTAAAGCAATGAAAAGAAGTGATGATGAGTGATGTGCGGTTCGGTTTGATACTGTAGTATGGAACGGACAACCAATGAGATGGTTGGCATTTGAGTGTGTTTAGTGCATTGGATGTGAGTGGAATTGCAAGTGTTTATGTTTGTTGGTGAATGTGTTAGATTATGATGAGGCAAACTAAGATTTGAAATTGTTCGAAAAGGCATATTCGTTGAGCTGAATTGGATGGTGGATGTTAGAAAAGCTTTTGATTATTTATTTATGATGTTTAGTGGAAAGGAGTGAGTGGTGACAACGAACCGAATAAGAAAGATTTGTTAAGATGCGGTGCTTTTGTTGGTACGTATGCACTGAGCGAGCATGCTGAGTCACCAGCTGAGACGGGTGAATATTGCCATGAGTAGCTGAAATCTTTTCGAAGCATTTTCAAATGCTCCCAAAATATTTCTCCAGTATACGGCGGCGCCAATGCCAAAAATTGATCTTCGTTCAATGCGCACAAGTCGACACCTTTTAATCGAAGCTGAAATTTGAGCGTAGAATTGGAAAACTTTTGGATATGTCGCAATCAGCAGAACTGTACTGTTCTCATGAGTATGGTGACGTCTTGAAAAGGTATATTCATTACCTGTTTGCAATTATCCAAAACATTGAACTCTCTTCTGGCCCAATCAAGCCACGAATTTGTCTGGGCAACTGACCAATACACTGGATTTGATGGAATATGATTCTCTTGACGTACTGTTTCAAATTTTGAGAAACTGCAATCGAAAAAATTCTCTTATTCATTGATGTGAGAGTTTTGATTTGTTTTATGAGGCAATCGCTTTGAACTTATCTAAGGTTTCTTCTCGTAAAATGACTGTAAATAAGACTTAGTTTCACATTTAATGAGACTATGAATAGAAATTTGGTGAAGTGGAATCTTTGAGAGAGTACGGTAAATGTGTACGTAGAATGGCGAAGTAATGCCAAGTGATTTGAACAATAGTTTTTGATTGATAAGTGAGAGTAAAAGAAATGATTACTAGTCGACATCAGAATACTAATACAGATTCATTCATCATTGAGCGGTATGGTTTGAGAACATATGGTCAATAAGGGATTCGTTATTTTTTGTTGTTGTTAAAGAAGTGTTTAGTTGAATTAATGAATGTGGCTCTCTGAATTGCAAGCAGTCAGTTTTTAGCTGTTAGTTTTTAGACGAACTGACGAACATATTGAAATATCGATCATATTATCATTAGTTTTCTGGATTAATATTGCTGCTATAAGTGATGATTCCAAGCGAACAGATAATTCAGGAAACAAACCTGTTTTTGAGGATATCAGTGAATTTGCTTCTTGTGCCAGGTGTCAGAGCTGGGGTTGTAGCTGTGGTGCTGGTAAAAGTAGGACCGGATGGTGTAGTTTGACTACTGAATAACAATGATGGATCCTTATTGCCGATATTATTATCGGTCGTGTCAAATGGCTGTGGATAATAGTCAAAGTCTGAAATTTTTACGCATTTTTACTCAAATCATTGTTATTATAGATCTGTTACTGTTGCTGATCACTTTCACCTCAAAATGAACACAACAGTTTCTTTTGCTAGTGTTCAAGCTTGTAAGTTGATTCGAAGCACAATACAATGCGGTATGATGATAGCAAATAGAGCACGTAACGTTCTTAGAACAACACACTGATTAAACAGAGGATTATTCAGCAAGAAGCATGAAACAAAATGCACAGCAACTGAGGTAGGTAGGTATGTGTGTACACAACGAATACTAATGGACTGATTAATATTCCCAGGAAGGTTAATAAGTAGTGATGGTTTGGTATGATCGGAAGTGAGTTGAGCTAGCTAGCTGAACTCTGGCCTGCGGCTTATCTCATTTTTCAAACTGGAAATTGGCCATGGTACTTTGTTGACTGCAAGCAGTGGCTACTAGTGTGAATATTTTTTCGTCTTATTCAACATTCTAATGATAACTACTAATTCGTTGATGTTTATTTGTGCGGTCTTCTATGGCAGCCAGCTTCTACGGCTGCCATAGCACGCACGAACAACGATTACACAAAGAATAAAGAATGAAACAAACAAACAAAAAACACGCAATCTACGTACAGTAATCTATGCACGTACAAAGCATTCATCGAAATAATTCATGCGAAACTTTTGAACCAATGTCAAACAGCATTTTGTAGCGTTTATGATTATATTCGTCATTTGATTCGAATACTGATAATGTTATAATAGAAAGGAGATTGGATGAGAGGTATTTGCTCATTAATGAAGCGAAACTTGCAGTCATCATTTGTAGACGATACGGCCGCTTTAGGGACTTTGCAAGAAGACAGGATTAGATGAAAGGAGGATTTTAGGAAGGCGTTGTTGAGGTGTTGCTTAGCTGAATGGTGAGATGGATAGAGCAACAAGGTGGATGGATAGATTCGAGACTGGATCGAAAAACTTTTGAATGACGATCTGTTTAGCTGTTTGGCTGTTTTTTGAAAGTGATAATCTTGGCGATTGCTTACAGAATCATAAAATGAAGCATTAAAATATGAATGCTCATTTACGATCCGCCCGAAGGGTTGTGCTTTTATTAGTCATAAATAACTGTGGGCGTTGATAGATGTTGGTCATTTAACAGTTAGTGATGCTTGTTTTTTTGATCAGTGGGGCGATAGACGTGAATTTTGTTATGGTTTATTGATTTGGAAGAAGTTGAGAATTGGAAGGCAGTAAGGAAAAAGAGGAAGCATTAACAAAAACACAGTCTGGATAAACAGGTGATCGTGAGCAAGTATCATAAATGAGGAAGGGGCAGTAGAATTATTACGCCGAGGCCAGTAATTAGTAGTGGTAATTGTAGGCTGGTTGAATGGATGGGTAGAAGGATAGAGAGTGGTAAGTCGAGGTTAAAGAGAGTCGTAGCGGAGTTAGTCCAGTGGATGGTGGATGGGAAGGAACGAGTGAAATAGGGGAAGAGAGGAAGATATTTGGATGAATTGAGGTGAGGTGCTAAGACATGATGATTGGTTGACGAATGAACGATAAACAGACATAAGGAGTGGAATAAAGGTCATTGCAGGTCACATTCTCATATACTATTGTATTATCATAATAATCCTGGACTTGTAATAGTAGCAATAATCATCAAACAACTATAACAGCAGCAATAATAATAATAACAACCAACGACAATAGAAAGAAGGTATGCTGCTCAAATGTCATTAATAGTTGATCTGTAATAACGCGAACCGCCATAATACGATACACAATAGAAGGCATTGTAAATGGCATGCATACTCATATATACTTCAATAANTAATTATTCGATTCTTCTTTGAATCGAATCTGCGAGCAGCTAACCGAGAAGAGGCATATCCCAGAATGTAGATATAACAAGAGCGAATACGGTTGGCTCACCGTTGATTACAAACAATAACCTTGATATAGCCAAGCAGCGATCCATTGATCCGATCCGACCGATCCCATTCCGTTTTAGTTTCATTCCTTCCTCCCACCTCGTCCCTTGGTGCTTACCTTTGATCACAAAAAACTATTCGTTTGTTGGAGAGTTTCGGTCCTTTTTAGAGATCATTTTACAGCGGCACCCTTTCAGAATTAGTAGCATGTTGTTGGTTGGCGTTTAATTCGCGCATTGTCGCAGGTAATGACAAGTAATCATGTTGAGGCGTTCATAAGCAAATATAGGATGATAAGAAATACAGAATGAATATGTGAATAATTAAATGGATGGATGAATGAATATGAGATGTGACCATGAGCGTTTCCGGTGTGCATTGCAGCAGAGCAATTTTTGGCGATAGCAATTTGGAAAGGAAAAAACTCGATACGTTTCAAAGCAGTGATCATTGAAGCGAGTTGCAGTAGAACTTAAAAACACAAAACCATATGTAGCATGATATATGATTTGTAATGAGATGCGAGGATGAGGTGTTGAATGGTGGGTGACCTTAGTCAAATGAGCTGGAGAAAAAAATTGGGTATATTACGAGTGAAGAGTTCGTTGAAAAAATGATTGCATTGATTGATGACATTGATGAAATTTAGCGGAAAAAAGTTTATGACGGTGCAGATTTTTGACTGGACTGGGAGGTTGTGCTATTAGGAGTGGAGTGAGATATTAGAAGTGGAACGAAGATGAAAGCTTTATTGGTTGTATTAGGCAATAGGTGGTGTAAGTTGAGAACAATATTGGGATATAAAAATGAGCGAGAATAAGACTGAGTGGTTGTTGGGGAGCAGAATTGCTTATTGCTTTTGATGATAGATACTCTTATTAGGTGAAGGATGAGGGAAGCATGATTTATTGTGGATGTAAGCCTTTGACTAGATTAGCAACAAGTTTTTGTTAGCATTATGTCTCGATCAGATCATTAGCTTCATCACAGAGCTTGGTTAAGGGAATAAGCATTATGGTGAGGGGTGTAGGCAGTAGTGTTAATTACAAGCAGTTGGTTATGTGGATGAAGATTTGAGGTAATAGGACATTTTTATACGATAGCTGATTTGAACATATCTTATATCGATGTGGATGGTGCCGAGGGAATGGGTACGGAGCAAAGTTAAAGACGTGATTAAATTAATTAGCGGGGGGGGGGGGGG